CCCCTTGTAATTGGAACCCCTTTGCCACCCCCACACATGTACATGAATTTGACCAGTTCAAACACAGCAACGAGTTTGGTTATTTCTGCTCCCATGGGCTCGAGTTCCCATGGGTGTGGAAGTGCGCCAGCATGAAGTGTCCAGGAGAGGTTGGACCTCATTGAGGTGTGGGGAGATGAATCCATTCTCTCTGAGCCCCAGACCAGCAAAAAGAATGCCAGAGCTCCAGAACATGGCGGTGGTGGGTGTGTGGGAGGAACCTCAGGGAGCCTAACCTTCCAGGATCTTGGGAGGTAAAAGGTAGGTCCATGGGCCTTCCTGAGCTACCCTCCCCCTTCAAGTTGCCACTTTTCATTTCCCTGCTGTTTTCCCTAAATAAAAACTGCTAATTGAACAACAGTCTGTTTATTGCTTGTACTGCAGGGGTGGGGTGGTGGAGTAAAGGCAAATACAGGGGCAATGTGTTGAGAGAAATGTAGAAGAGTCTCAAAACTGGCCATTGATAAAACTGCCCTTCAAGGCATCTCTGTTTTGCGCTGCCTCCTACTGTGCTCTCCTTGTATACAGTATTTATTTACCTCTGATACTTAAAATGCAAGGAAATAATAACTACAGGCAAAATTTACATCAAACATAATATTAATCTCCAAGCATGAGTCCACTTCCTTCTTAATAGTTCAATAGTGTCAACATACTGATATTCTCATTGTTCTGTTCATTTCAACAAACCTGTTGTCCTCATTATACAATTAACTCTGACCTTCTAATGCTTGATGACAATTATAATAAATTTGTAATCTTAGAATTCCACATACCCTACCCCAGACAAAAATAACATAGTTATCAAATACAGTGTGCCCAGATTTCCTGTCCTGATGATAAGAATACTTCAAATTCAGGCTACATCTGCCACTGATTAAATCTTTGCATATGTTCTAAATGGTTGATAGCCACATTCTAATTTTTGATACCCTCAATTCTGAGGCTTGACTGGAAACCCTCAGAGTACATGGTAAATTCCTCTCTGGAATTGCTCATGGTTACCTTGAAGCCATCAACTAGACTAGAGCAGTGGTGAGCAATAACTGGCCCATGGGCTGGACATGGTTAGCCCCGCTTGCAAGCCCTATTGGGAGCTGATGGAAGTGATGTCCCAGTCCACACCATTTCCCATAGCTTCCATTGGTCAGGTCCGGGGATCTATGTCCAACAGGAACTGCAAGAGTCTGTACCTGGAGAGGTGTAAGTAAATAATGTGGCGACAGCCTGCCAGGGGCTAACCCTGAACTAGATCCTGAAGTTACTGTCATCTTTAGTGGATTTAATAGTAAAATTTGAAAATAGCTTTCAAAGTGAGGGTCAGATGCAGGTGCTATTGTGATTATAGAGCTGAACAGGGGACGCAAGAGATTGACTTAATTCCTATGTGATTTGGAAAATTCTTTTAATCTCTGATGTACTTTGTCTGCACACTAGGGCTGAAAAATACTTTTCTGTCTGTTACCACATCCATTTAGATAACAAGATCTAACCAGTAGATAATCATACGTTTGTGCAGAGCCTAGCACAGTTTGCTTCTCAACTCACTTGCAAAGACAATAACTAACGGTAAGCATTTGAAATCCAGAACACCATGCTCAAGGTTATGATAGATGCCGTTCACAGCTCCATTGAAGAGTGTTTTGTGTAAGATTGGCTTCCACGCTAGTCAAACAGCCCATGGTCTTTATTACAGGTCAACCAATTTTGATTTGAGCTTTTGATAACCACACTTCCTAGAGCTGGGTGGGTGGGTGGGTGTGTGTGTGTGGTGTGTTTTTTTTTTTTTTTTTTACTCCTTTTACCTGTGGGGTCCCGTTCAGACTCTTGCTTAGTTACAGCCCCCATATCTTTTCTGTTCACTGTTAATTGTTAATAGTTTTCTGTGCTCACCTTGCTGTAGCTAGTCAGTTAAAATGTTTGTGCTGGGTGTTTTCTGCTTACACAGGGAGTATGATATTGACATCTTTGGAAAGTGCTTTGACATGTATTTATGGAAAATGCTGTAGAAGAGATTGTAACATTCTCATTTTAACACCAGCCCCCATATCTTTTCTGTTCACTGTTAATTGTTAATAGTTTTCTGTGCTCACCTTGCTGTAGCTAGTCAGTTAAAATGTTTGTGCTGGGTGTTTTCTGCTTACACAGGGAGTATGATATTGACATCTTTGGAAAGTGCTTTGACATGTATTTATGGAAAATGCTGTAGAAGAGATTGTAACATTCTCATTTTAACACTTAGCATCCTTTTATTAACTTTATACACTCTAAATTGCTTAACAAGGCGGCCCCTGACATGCAAGGTGATCGGTTCCTGGGGAAGCATTGCAAGTTGGGGGTGTCCTAACTCGAACCCGCATTTACGATAGGCACCATACGCCATCATAAATGGGGGCTGAGGACATAAGTCGGGGGTTTTCAGCCCCTTCTGCACTTACAAAAATAGTTATGAGTTCAGGGGGTCGCAACTTGGGCTGTCTTAAGGCAGAATTTCCTGTATTGAACTTTAAGTGTTCTTTCTATTCTGCCCTTTGTTAGAAAACAGTAAAATTTGTATTACGAGAAGTAAGGGGAAAGCTCATGATATGCTTCTATTTATGCTGCAAGCTTTTTTCCAAGGTCAGGCTACCAGGATGAAAAAAAATCATCTTCCCACAGAGAAGCCAGAAACTACTTTTTATGAAAGATTTTTTGGAAAGCAGCAGTAACTCTAAAAATTAATGTCTTAATTACGGGAAACATAATTTTCAGCAAACATTGCTTATATCTTTGCACATGTAATTGGAACCCCTTTGCCACCCCCATCTTGTTTTTCAACATTTATCACAAGCTCTATGATATAGGAATTATCACATTATTTGAGATGCAATGGTACAATAACGACAAATTATTCATCTTTTTAATAGTGACCACTGTAGTAATCATCATCACCATGACAATGTAGGCTTAAAATAAAAAGGCCAATTTTTAGTAGGTCTCTCAATGATTCTAGGGGATATGAATGTAAAAAAAATGCATTTGTGCAAAAATAATGTTTTCATGTTAAAACTGATGCTCCAGACTCTTTCAGTGTGTATTTTCAATACAGAAATTGTACTGTTTACCCAGCTCAGTTTTTATTGCCACATACAAGAAATGTACAGGAATTATCAGTTAACGATGAGTTTGTTTGAAGTGAAACTTTCTTTCTCCAATTAGGGGTTGATATAGAGGCAGCTCGAAAAGAAGAAGAAAGAATAATGCTTAGAGATGCAAGACAGTGGCTTAACAGTGGCCGTATAAATGATGTCAGGCATGCAAAATCTGGTGGTACAGCACTTCATGTAGCTGCTGCTAAAGGGTATACAGAAGTTTTAAAGTAAGTATTATTTCTAAATGGTAGAAATAATGGTCTCCAAGCTTGTCTAGACATTAGTGGAAAATAACTTGGCATTAATATTATTGAAAGTTTGTGAATTGCATCTTGGAAGCTTGTGATCTTTACCTTTACTTATTTCTCACAGTTATGTTTTTCTGTTTTCAGCTGACCTTGAAACTTTATACAATGTCGTGACTTTTACTTGAGTTATTCAAAACTTAGTATTGTACACATTGAATTTGAATCTTAAATATCACCATGGCAAAAAATCCATAGTATTTCTAAAAGATATTTTGACTTAATATATTAATGAAAATGGATACCTTTCTTTTATGCTAGTTATCTTCGGGTGGATATACATGGATTAAAACCATGATTTATTTTTTATGTTGTAAAAATAGTCCAGAGGTTGTAGTATAAAGTTATTCAGGTTTGAGAAGAGAGAAAAACAAGTAATTTTTAGGGAATGGCTTTAAAACTGATGTCAATCATTAAGAGAACTCAGCTGTTTTCTTGTACATCTTCAGGCTTCTCTTATCCTTATGTACTATTGCCTATTTACACATTTGCCTATTTACAAATGATGTAAATGTGATGACAAACACCAACGAATTAGCTGATCATATATGGTATTGAAGCAGGTCAGACAGAGGCCTTATGAAATGCTCTGCTGGGCTGTCAGGTGGGCATCCCAATGCTAATTTTTGGTCCCAGTCCATAATTCTACAACTCTAACATAATGTTACACAGGTTCTTTGCTTTTTTGTTGTAAATTTTCACCATCAAATTTGTATTTAGAGCCAAAACTTTTGTTTAGAAATATAAAGATCATATTTTTGAACCAATAGTTTTAGAAAACTTGAAGAAAAAATATGGAATTCAAGAAATATTGTACAGCCCTGGAGGATAAGCAAAACCAGGTTCAAGTTAAAAAGACATTTTTTGTTATAAGGAAAGCAGCGTGTTCACATGCCTTATTAATATGTTAAAAATAGAAATGGGAATGACAAAATGAGTTAGAATATGAGATTTTGTGTTAATATAATTAAAACTTGACAGATCCAGAATCTCTAATGTAAGTTCCTCTGAGTTCTTGAAATATCTGATGTTAGGCATTAAGAGTTATGGAGTTTATTTTTTTTAGTTACTAGTTGACTAAATTTAAAGATTTCTGCTGCTCATTGAGACTGCTATATGTATTCTGCACTTTTCTAGTTTTGAAATACATAAAAAATATTCTCCAAGACCCTAACTGATTATATTTTATACTAGTGATCTATCTACCTCTGACATAACTATTTTGAAAGGAAGTAAAATATCGTATCTTTAATAAAAACACATGTTCTCTGATTTTCTTTAAAGTGACTTATGACCACTTTGGCATTGTAAAGTGGTTTTAAAATGAGTATAAATGTACTCTACTGCTTTGCCAGTGCATGAACAGTGAAGTTCTTTACAGTGAATGTAAGTAAGAACCCCTCATTGAATAAACTTCACAGCTTGTGACACTGTCAAAACCTTCTCTACATACCAAAGCATAGAAAATAGAATTATAGCAATATCATTATTATTTATGCTTTTAAAACTCCCAATGGGAACAATCCATTCTAATTTTTTTCATATAGCAGAGGAATAAAAACTATACTGAAAGTCAATTTTCATTCCAGAGCAGTGACATAATTGCATGTTGTAGCTGTCAGTTTCTGCATGTGGACAGGCCCTTACATTAGACTTATTCACAATATTATTATAGGCTATGTGAATAGTATCAGTCACTGTTTCAAAAGTAGAGATCTCTACACACATGCACTTCATCTTCTGTTTGATAAAATGTGTGCATTTGTATACCTGCCAAATATTTTGTTATCTTACTTAATTTAGTTAAAATTACATGACATTTATTAACTCAGACATTTTATTAAAAAAAATTTTAATTGAGTGTTCTCCCCATCCTAAATCTCCAGCATGGATTATTAAATATTATGTTAGGGGAAAACCATATCACATCAAATTATCTCAATATACTTCCAGTAGGAAAATTGGTTTTTGTTCTGGTAAGATCTCAATATTTTCAGCTAAATAGTGTTTGCTGCTCTTAATTTTTAAGAGACATTGTTTATGAAAATTACCTCTTGGATATATAATTTTTCTTTTTCTCTAAATATGCTGACTACCTTTTTGGAGGTTTATAACTCATTTATACCCTTCCATGGTTCTTCAACTGTTAGACCAGGTCACTTCATCAGTCTATTTAAAAGTTAAATCATTGGAAGATGCTACTTTTAGGACACTTGACACTTTTGTTAATATTATGGAATATGTGATCTCTCTCACTCGCACACAGACTCACACCATATTGCTAAGGAATCATTCAAGGAAGTATTGGCTGATTATTTATGGTTCTTGACCTATGAAATCAGTAATGTTGAATGTATGATGAGGGACATTGATTTGAGCGGTCTCACAGGCTCTGAGAAAAGCTTCATTGATGGATCTAAGCACTGTTTTGCATAGCACTGGTCACATGTGATCTTAAAGGGATGACCTCAGCACCAAAAATTTAATTAAAAAAAATAGTACCAGATAGTATCAGAGGGGTAGCCGTGTTAGTCTGAATCTGCAAAAGCGGTGAGGAGTCCTGTGGCACCTTATAGACTAACCGAAGTGTTGGAGCATAAGCTTTCATGGGCAAAGACCCACTTCGTCAGATACATGTAGTGGAAATTTCCAGGGGCAGGTATAAATATGCAGGCTAGAGATGACGAGGGGGATCCAAACAGGGGAGGATAAGGCCCACTTCTAGTAGCTGATCTGGAGGTGTGAATGCCAAGATAGTTTACCTATTATAACAAGATCTGACCATTTTTGAGCTTTTATGGTCATATTTTCCTAAAGGGGAGGAGAGTAGTTTGTATTCCCTGTTCCTGTATAAAACTCTCTCTCAAAGAGGGAGAACTGTCTAGCAATATGTAAAATGTTAAATGCATGTGGACAAAATAGGCACTCTTTTATTTATTTGTTGTCATGATCTTGGGAATTTTAGTGTCTGAAAATATTTCTTGGTAAGATGTGTTGACTTTTTTTAAGTCGAGTGTTTGTTTTAACATAGACTTACTGCTCAGACACAGAGAGAACAGTGAAATGAAAGCAAGAAAAATTAAAATTGTTAATGATTTATCACTTAGTGGCAATTTAATTATTATTGGCATTGGTATAGTAGATCTAATTCTTCTAATCCCTTCAGGCTTTTAATACAGGCTGGCTATGATGTAAATATTAAAGATTATGATGGCTGGACACCACTTCATGCTGCTGCTCATTGGGGTAAAGAAGAAGCATGTCGAATTTTAGTGGAAAACCTGTGTGATATGGAGACTGTCAACAAAGTGGTAGGATTTTTATGTAATCCTTGTCAAGATGCAAAGTTCTGGTCTCTAAAGTGACTTTAGAAGGCAGGGTAAGAACAGTAGCAATAATGTACCGTTCCTGTACATGGCATTTTTTGTAATGCATGTTTTGCAAGAACCAGCATGTTGTGTGCTCAGATTTTTTTTAAATCTGTTTTCTAAATTGACTTAGATGCCTGACTCAACTTTGTACTTCATTTTCAACAATTGATCCATATGGTCTCCTATTTTTCTTTAAAAATTAATCTTGAAACAAATCTAATGAACTTATACTGCAGTAGAATTTTTCTGAAAGTTTAGGGTCAAACAAATTAAGGTCTTTGAATTTTTTATTTCTAATTTTACCAAGTTTCTTATTTTCTGTATATTTTCTTAAGTCTTTTTGGCTTGTCGTAACTCATCAACTTTGTTTGCACTCCAGACTGGCTTTGTTTCACCTAGGTTAAAAATACTGGTGTCTTTGACTAGCATTGAGCTACAGGACAGTAAAATTATTAAAAGCAATTTCTGCTTATGTGCACTGAGATGTTAAGACTGCGTGCTGTTTTTGGACTTACTAAATAACCTCGGACATCCCTAGTTGATGAGTCAACCAGCGGGCTGGCTGTGCTGGGACACACACAACCCTATACCTGCAGCCAACTTCAGGCAGGGGGGTTGTTCCAGTCCAGGTGGGCCTGCCGCACCGTGAATGGGGAGCATTGCAGGCCAGTCAGGTTGGAGCAGCTCCTTGCCTGCTTGTGGTGTGATATGGTGAGCCCAGCTTGGCCAGAGCAGTCTGCTGCACCATGGGCAGGGGGGAGGATGCTCACCCACCCCTGTTGAAATGGTTAAATTTAACATTTGACCGGTTAACCAATTAAACAGGATTTTACATCCCTAGTATCAATGGCTACATCTAGACTACAAGCCTCTTTCAAAAGAAAGCATCTAGACTGCAACCACTTCTTTCGAAAAAGCGAGCCGCTTCTTTCGAAAAAGCCCTGTTTGCATTCAAGAATGCCTTTTTTCGAAAGAGCACTTTCAAAAAAAGGCATTCTTCCTCATAAAATGAGGTTTACCATGGTTGAAAAAAACACTGGGTTCTTTCGATTTTATTTCAAAAGAACATGGCGGCAGTCTAGATGTTGGGGAAGTCTTTTTGAAAAAAGGCCACTTTTTTCAAAAAAATCCTGTAGTTTAGACACCTAGGCTGTGTCTACACTGGGCCACTTATTCTGGAAAAGCAGCCGCTTTTCCGGAATAAGCTGTGAGCTGTCTACACTGGCCGCTTGCTTTTTCGGAAAAGCAATGACGATCTACTGTAAAATTGTCAGTGTTTTTCCGGAAAAACTATGCTGCTCCTGTTCGGGCAAAAGTCTTTTTCTGGAAAAACTGTTCCGGAAAAGGGCCAGTGTAGACAGCACAGTAGACTTTTCCGCAAAAAAGCCCCAATCGCGAAAATGACGATCAGGGCTTTTTTTCCAGAAAAGCGCGCCTACATTGGCCATGGATGACTTTCCGGAAAACGTGCTTTTCCGGAAAAGCATCCTACCAATGTAGACGCGCTTTTTCCGGAAATACTTGTAACGGAAAACTGTTCTGTTTTAAGCATTTCCGGAAAAGGGTGCTAGTGTAGACGTAGCCCCAATGTGTAGCTTCATTTTTCCCTGCTGTAGGTTCTCGGGTCTTCTGTTGGGCAGAACCTTAGTTTGCAGCAGACCTAAGAAGTCCACAGTTCCTATCTTCTCCAAAATCCAAACATATAATTAAGGAAGTTCTTAGGCATAAAATTTTAAATTGGAATTAGGTTTGTAAATATCTGTAATTTATATAAGGAGGAAGGAACCCACTTAAGGGTAACCTTGTAGTTTGAAAATCAGGCATTATTCCTAGAAGTTTAGATTAGATTTACAGAGACAAAACGCTAAAAAGGATGGCCTTGCCTTTTTTAAATAACTTTTCTGCTTCTGTACTAATGCACACAGAACCACTGGAAAAAATCATGTTCTACTCAGACGACATATTTTCATTGCATCAGAAAGTCAAAATTGATTTAACTGAGCTATATTACTCTTTGTTTTTAAATCTGCCCCTGAAACCTATTTAATTTACCAGGTCGGTCCTTAGACTTTTTTTGTGCAGAGAGGAGATACGTGTGGTAGTGTTAGTTCTCTACCATCCCAGGGAAAACATAGTTATCTTCGGTCAAACTGAGGCAAGAAAGGATGACGGAGAGGCAGATTAGAGTTGAGGAGGAGTCGCTAGGAACATGTGTTTACCTGTGCAACCGAGATGCTCCATTTGTAGATTGGCAAAATACCCAATCAGTGGCTTATCTCTCAGAAATTCTGAATACCCGAATTCAGTTGAAATTAAACTGAGTTGTGGGTTCTGGGCGGCTCTTGAGATCCAAATTGCTTTTATTTAGTGTCCAGCTCTAGATATTTGGCATGATGAACTGTGTGAGTTGAATGCATTTCAAAAAGTAATTTTACCTAAGGAAAATAAGCTTATATCAATAATTCCTAAAAATCAAACATTCACTTAGGTATAATTTTAGGTAGACAGGCTTAAAAACGGTGACCTTACTGTGCCTAGAAATGTGTATAGTGTCTTTAGCAATAATGGAGAACTTTTATTTGTAAAGTGCTGAAAGTGTAGAGCCCACAAATGACTCCAGGCAGGGAGTACATCTGCAGAAAGTTATACAAGTGCTCCCTAAAATTGGCTTTCTGGTATTCAGCTTTTGTCTTTGAAGTGGTTGAGCAAATTGTGACCCGAATCAGCACATTATCTCTTCTGATAGCATAACTTTGTATAAGCACTTCCATAGAGATTTTTACAAATAGCCTGGTTACTTACGGGCACTTGTCCAGAATTAAATTTTCTTCTGGTGAGCTTTGTGTCCTTTGCAAAACAGAGATCAACTGACAATAAGTAAATCAAATGTAGCTCGATTTTGGTCTGAGCTTTATCAGGGTCCAGTGAAAAAAACATTTGCAAACTGTATGAACAGGTTTCTTCCCCCTCTGAAAATCTCTGACCTGTTGGTGATTCTTGAAGTTGTGGGTTTTTTTTTTCCATTCAGTATGAGGAATCCCTTAAACCTTCTATCCCTGCCCCCTTAGGCACTACTTTTAAAAAGCAAGGAAATGTCTTTTCATTGAAGTTTTCCATATAGAGGCTTGTGTTCCAGTGCCCAGAAAAAGCGAACAATATTAACGTGTATATAGGGTTACCAAGTGGCTTAAAAAATACCGGACACACTTGATCTCAGATATGGGGAGGGACACCAGCTGGGAAGGGAGCAGGGCTGGCCAGGAGGATATGTGTGTGGGGAGGAGGAGGACTGGCTGGTGGGAAGCAGGGCTGTGGGGAGGGGGGCGTCGGGGGCAGCGGGAGAGATCGGGACAGGACCAGCTGGCAGGAAGCAGATCTGGCTGGGAGGGGGATCAGGGGCAGCGGGGCTGGCTGGGGGAGATCGGGTGGCGGGGGGACTGGCCGAAGGGAAGCGGGGTTGGCTGGGGCAGAAGCATGGGGGGAGGGGGAGAACTGGCTGGCAGGGAGTGGGACTGACCCAGGCGCATGCAGATCCAGGGGTGCTGCCCGTCGTGCACAGTCCCAGCGAAGCGTGAGCGAGTCCGGCTCCGGGGATTCCACCTCCACATAGTTGTGTACTGCCTGGCTGGTAGACACGCTCACACAGTGTGAGTGTGTCTACCGGCCAGGTGGTTCGCAACTACATACTGATACTCCTAATAACAACAACTTACCTACTTAGAAAATACCGGACACCTGGCAACCCTACATGTATATAGCATGAGAGATAAAATAAGGAAAATATTGCTAGTATATAAATTAATGACATGCCCTCATATGGAATTTTATATTCATTTTCGGCTAGGTGTAGGGGGTGGTGCAGGGGTCAGATTGGTAGGGTAAGGAGGGGCTCAGGACAGGGGGTTGGGAGGTGTATGGGAGCTCAGGGCAGCAGGTGGTGAGTGCAAGTGGCTAGCTGCCGAAAGAGGCTGCGCTCCCTGGCTACTGGCTCCCCAGGGCTGGCCAGGATGGTGGGGGCTGCCCCGCCCGGCCAGCCGCTCCCCAGGGAATGACCAGGGGCTGCACTGCCTGGATGGTGGCTCACATCCACAGGAACTTTACCTGTGTAAAGTGGTCAGTAACATCCAGGCCCCTGCCCTCAGCAGCCACTTTCTTACCGGTGTTCCTGTCCCACTGGGATCATTTTGCTGTGTAACTGTGCCTGCCAGCAGACTCCTCTCTTTGTATTTTAGGAGGATCAATCATATTCTAGGCAAATCCCGTTGTCCTAGCTCAACCAAACGTTTACCATGCTTAAAATTCTAAGGAAGTTGCATACCAAATTTGGTGGTCCTAGCTCTTACTATTTAGGAGTCTTAGAACAAACACTCAGGCTATGTCTAGACTGCAAGCCTCTTTCGAAAAAGAGCGTCTAGACTGCAAGCGGAACTTTCGAAAAAGTAAGCTGCTTTTTCGAAAGAAAGCAGCAAGTGAGTCTGGATGCTCTCTTTCTAAAAAGCCCTGTTGGCATTCAAGAACGCCTTTTTTCGAAAGAGCACTTTCGAAAAAAGGTGTTCTTCCTCGTGAAATGAGGTTTACCGCCGTCGGAAAAAAAGCCGCGTTCTTTCGATTTAATTTCGAAAACACGGCTGTAGTCTAGACGCAGGTGAAGTTTTTTCAAAAAAAGGCTACTTGAGTCTGGAAAAAAACCCTGAGTCTGGACACAGCCTCAAAGTCAAATGGACAGATAGACACACAAACTCTCTCAAGTATATAGTATGTAGTAGTTTTCAAAATAGCAATCATTTATGCAATTGTGTGAGACAGGTAAATATTACTACCACTATTTTACAATGGGCGGAATTGAAGCATAGGAGCTATGACCTACTAACCTAGATAGTGAGAAACTCTATTAGTAATAAACATTCTGGTTTGGGAATAGTGGGGGGAAACGGGGAAAAAAATAGCGGTTGCAAAGTCAGAATAATAGTTAAATTGTTTCCTCATCTTCTACTGTTCACGCTGGAACAACTGTTTATTTCACAACAGGATGGCAAGACCATGAACTGTTTACAGTATTAGTATTACATCTGAAACACTGTTCTACAGTTCTGAAAGACTATAGCTCTGCAGTTACATAGAGCATAAACAGAACTGGCTTAGTTGACTTGCAGCATATTACTGTTAAGGAGAATGTCCATAAGGAATGAGCTTTTTGGCATTTTGGAAATCTGTACCAGAGAGGCTCCTGGTAGAGCTGATCAAAGTATCATTACTATGTTTGGTCAGTTGCTCTCTGAAAAATTTCCTTTTCTGTACTGAACAACAAAAGAGTGACAAGTGTTCATCTTAAATGATTTTTATAGATTAGATGAGTCAGAACATGTCTCAGTTTAAAATAGAGATTATCTGGAGAGGAAAAAATACTCCATATAGGTCTTATATTTTTATTAAAATTGGGCTATTATCTACAAAATTCACTCAATATAAATATTACCTTGAGCTGTACCCTTAATCAAAATGAAGGTTTCTCTGCAAGTTTATATACAGTGACTAAGAATGTGTCTTACAATCTCTTGCCATGTCTTGATGGTTGTGAAACCTGAAACCAAAGGGAGCATCATTAATTCACAGTACCTGTAAAGTATATTTGTGTAGTTTGAAAAACATTAATTCCAAAGGACAATAGATATATGAGAACATTTATGAGATTAAGGAACGTACGTGTAAGGTTATATTATACCAGAATCCCCTTTATCAGTTTAATATTAAAGACTTACACCAATTATTTTAAGAAAAATTAATTATTCATTTTAAAATTGTATATAAAAGGAGCCTTTATGTTATGAGCAACAGAAAAATTCCTTTCCCTTTGAGCATTTTTAGACCACCTTAGGGAGGATTTGGGAAACAGCTTACCAAATACAATATAATAAAAAGTAACTTGATAATTCAGATATTAATAAGAATTAATAATCAGATATTAATTATATTACATAAAAACACAATGAATAATGTTAAGGTTGCAAAGCCATATATCAGAAGTAACTGTTGCAGGGAGTTCTCAGCCCTAATTCACTGGGCAGAAACCTCTGTCAGGCTATGTGTACACTACAGAGTTTTTGCACACCTCAAGTGCGTTTTTGCGCAAAAAAATCAGAAGAACAGAGGGGTTTTTGCACAATAGTTATTCCTCTTTCTATGAGGAATAACTCCTTTTTCCCCAAGAGTTCTTGTACAAAAAGATGTGTGTGGCTGGGCAACGGGCTTTTTGGGCAAAAACAGGAAAGAGGAAAAAGCAAAGGTGCCCTAGTGGCCATTCTTTCGATAGCTATCAGCACTTTCTTTTTAGAGTGTGTCCATGCAGTGTGGATTCTCTTGCGCAAAAGCGCATCACTTTTTCGATGCGCTTTTGCAGTGTGGACGCACTCTCTTGTGCAAGAAGGTTTTTGCTGAAGATCTTTTGCAAAGCTTCTTGCACAAGAAGCCTATAGTATAGACATAGCCTCAGTCTCTTCAGCTGCCAAACTCTTAACAGTTGTCTATTGAGCATGTATGAACTAAGATTTTCAGAGGCCCATAGCTTGGTCAAACTTGGGTGAATTTTCATAGGGACAGCGAACAGTACATTTTGAACACAGGTGATCCGGCTGCCACATGTCAAGTCCTTGTTCCAAAGCACGTATTCGTTGTTTTTGCAGTTTGTAAGAAACATTTTAATATGGGTAAACATGTTTTTTCCTAATCCATGTTTTGAGAAACAGATGAACAGTTAAATACTGAAATTCTCCAAAAGTATTCAGCCTAAAGAAGACACTTATGGTACATTTCAGTTCAAATGGCTAAAGTTGGTAAGCTTCAGGCAACTGAAAATAGGGTCTTATAAATGAAGATGTCAGGCAACCTTAACTATAGGCAGTCTTACCTACACTGCTTTTATCTATGTATGTGGTGCAAATTAAAAAATTAACTTCATGAGCCATGGGCCCACAACAAATAGAAAGTTGCAGATGTCTCCATCTAAATGAAATTGCATCCATTCCCCATGATATATCAGTCACTTGTTCATCCTACACACCCCAACATTCTCTGAGAACCATAAAATGAGAAGCTGTTGGGATGAGTTTAAACCCCAGTGAGGCTGGGAGTAAGATAAATGTCTTTCAAATGTTTATTTTTACTTGATTCATGGAATTACAGTATTTAAAATTCTGCCACAAGAAAATATTTTTTTCCTGCAGAGAAATGCTTTACTAAGCATGTTTATTTTCCTGCTCATTCTAGCTTCAGCTAGAGGTGGATTTGCAAAATTCTGCTGAAACACTGTTAAAAAGGTGGAACTCTATCAATTATGATATTGAGATATAGCTTATACTTACGGCTATTAGCCAGGATGGGTAGGAATGGTGTCTCTAACCTCTGTTTGTCAGAGGCTGGAAATGGATGACAGGAAAGGGATCACGTGGTGATTACCTGTTCTGTTCACTCCCTCTATCGGGCATTGGCCACTGTTGGAAGACAGGATAGTGGGCTAGATGGACCTTTGGTGTGACCCAGTATCGCCAGTCTTATGTTGTATGTCTGATACTATGATCATATGACTAGAAGACATCTGTTTTTAAATCCTACTTTTACAATTATGTAATTATTACGTTTTCTCTTGTGCGTCCGTCCCAGGGTCAGACAGCATTTGATGTAGCAGATGAAGATATTCTAGGATATTTAGAAGAATTACAAAAGAAGCAAAATCTGGTAGGTTTTTTGAGATGTCCGTGTCGCTCTATATATGTATATTGGTACAGATGTGCTTATGTACAAGATATAACCAGTTGAGATTAATATATGGATTTAACCTTCAGGTTTGACTTGAGGTACTAACTTTCCTTCTGTGCTACTCTTACTTGTTCTACATGGTCAGTGAAGTTGATCTGAAAATCTTGAAAGGAAAAATGATGTTCTTCAGGCAAAGCTTTCACTATACTTAACTACCTAAGGAAAATGCTGTACTGTTATTTGGCATATGCTAGTTTGGGGGCATTAAGTTACATATGTTGTAAATACAGGATTTCTTATTGTCTGCAGAAGATGATATCTTTTAATATTTTTATTAAATGTGCAATTGCTATCATTATGTCAATTTAATTATATCATTTTATGTCTCTCAAAGCTTCATAGTGAAAAATGGGAAAAGAAATCTCCCTTAATTGAATCTACAGCCAACATGGAAAATAATCAGTCTCAAAAGCCATTTAAAAAGTAAGTAAATCATTAAGATGTGCCTGCTGAGGAAAATAACTTCATAAACTTTCACAAATACTAATATACAGGCAGTCCCCGAGTTATGCGGATCCGACTTATGTCGGATCCGCAGTTACGAACGGGGATTTTCTCGCCCTGGAGGACTGGAGCGGCGGGACGCCTGGTCCCACCGCCCGCCTCCTCCGGGGCGAGAAAAGCTGCTCCCTGTCTCCCTGGTCTGCTGGCTCCCCCAGCAGACCAGGGAGACAGGGAGCAAAGCGGCGGAGGACCCGGGCCAGACCCGCGGCGCTGATCTGGAAGCGCTGCTGGTCCGGCCCGGGTCTTCCGCCGCTTTGCTCAGCGTCTCCCTGGTCTGCTGGGCGGGGGGACGCAGCTAGTGCCTGCCCCCTCCCCCCCAGCAGACCAGGGAGGCGTGGAGCAAAGCCCGGGGCCTGTGGTAGAGCAGGTGTGGCGCTGCCGGTTGGTCCTGCAGCACCGCTCCTTGGCGCTACTGGACCAACCCGGCAGCACCCCAGCTGCTCTGCCCCAGGCGTCCTGATTCAGCCGCTGCTGAAACTGATCAGCAGCGGCTGAATCAGGACTCCTGGGGCAGAGCAGCTGGGGTGCTGCTGGGTTGGTCCAGTAGCACGGCCGCTCCTCGGCGCTACTGGACCAACCCAGCAGCACCCCAGCTGCTCTGCCCCAGGCGTCCTGATTCAGCCGCTGCTGAAACTGATCAGCAGCGGCTGAATCAGGACTCCTGGGGCAGAGCAGCTGGGGTGCTGCTGGGTTGGTCCAGTAGCACGGCCGCTCCTCGGCGCTACTGGACCAACCCAGCAGCACCCCAGCTGCTCTGCCCCAGGAGTCCTGATTCAGCCGCTGCTGATCAGTTTCAGCAGCGGCTGAATCTGGATGCCAGTTCCGACTTACATACAGATTCAACTTAGGGACTGTAGGTTTGTTCTTATCTTGTACGTAACCCGGGGACTGCCTGTATATTTGGTTGGTTTTACTGAAGTTAAGAATAAATATTCTATACTATTTAAATTAATATTTTTGATTCCAGTAAAGAAACTTTGATTATTGAGCAAGAAAAGATTGCATCTAATATTGAGTCTCTCGAGCAAGAGAAAGTGGATGAAGAAGAGGAGGGAAAGAAGGATGAATCTAGTTGCTCTAGTGAAGAGGATGAGGAAGAAGATTCAGAATCTGAAGCAGAAACGGGTAAATAATTTTACAGAAGTCTCTTTGGCTTAGGTTGTTGCTTCAGTTAAATGCATTAATCTGGGATTTCATGATAATGGGAATTCATTATAGTAGTTTCTTGATTCCACTTTGTTTGCTGATGGCTACTTTCTAGTTTTTACATAGTAGTTTCTTGATTCCACTTTGCTGATGGCTACTTTCTAGTTTTTAATAGTTTTAAAACAAGTGTAAATCCCCACTTATAAACACAAAATGTAATTCATATGAATGAAGCCTTTTGCCATTGGCTATATTTTTTTAAATGTATGGCAGTGATTGGAATTGAAACTTTTAATTCAATAACTTGTAAATTTCTAATCAATATTTTTAATCCGAGAATAATATAAAGTAGCAGAGACCTCAAAAACATACCTAAAAAGAAATATGAGTGGGGAGGCGACAAAGGAAAAGACAGAAATCAGACCTCTATAGGTAGAGTTGTTTGCTCATCATTCTAATAATTCCATATATCGTGGAGCATGGAAAAGCAAACTTCCTCACGTGTTCTGCAATCTTGGAGCAGTCTCTGACAAACATAATGGATAATTCTGGCTTAGATATCGAAAAATTAAAGAGATCAGTATTTTGGATTGATATTAATATACTGGAATACATTTGGTTTTAAAAGTAATATTTTTTTCAGCAGCTCAACATCTGCTTTACATACAACTTCAGCTCAAGATTAATGGTAATCAAAAGAGCTTGGATTCATTTGTAGAGAAACTGGTACTCCAGCAGACTTGTTTAAAAGTCTAAGTTGGATGCCTTTGTTCAGACTTCTCTGTACACTCCTAGATTAGGGCAAATGTTCAGCATTTGGGGGGGGAGGAAGTTTGTGCGTGCGTGCGCGCGCGCTTCTAACAATATTGTAACAATATTTAAACGATTCCAAAATACAAATGGAGTGGACTGGGGGAATTTGCGGCCATACTGCTTTGTAGCATCCTCTTCCTAAACCCAACCTACCCCAAATGTCATCAGAATTTGCCACCTCTTCTCATACACCACCAAATGACATAGTAGTTCTTCTCATCTCCTCACAATCCTTCCTCTCCTATCTACTTACGTTGATGTTGGAAAAACAAAGCTGCTGTTGCCTGATTGGATGACTTTCTTCCCACCTGCATCTGGCTGCTCTAGGGTCTGCCCCTTGAGCTTGATAGAGAAGTTGACTGATCTACGTGAATGATCAAACAATTTTCTGAGAAGTTACCCGCTGTTTTCCCAACTGCCCCTTTTCCCCTGCAGACAGATCAAATGCGGAGCTTTTCTCAATCAGCATACAGAAGCAGTGGTACCTAGATCATTACCTGGACCATCACATATATCAGGGGCAGGGTTTTATGCCTGCATGTGCTGTAAGGTGAATGATTAAATACATAGCTTAAACTTGTTTTCTGTGTGATTGCAAAGCCATATTAGGCAGTCTTGGCTATACTAAGACAGCAAAGCTTTTAATATGCAAAGCAAAAGTGAAGCATTTGACACAACTGTAGTTGTAAGCACATTTTATTCTAGAGTTCTAAAATCTTATGGAACAAAAAATCTCACTGGTATTTGGCAAAAAAAATTGTAGATAGGTATATATTTTTGAAACCTAATTTATTGACATGCGTCAGAATATCTAGATACACTCAATATATATTTACATTATATAGTTTTCTATTTTAGACTATTACCATTTTAATCCTGATTTTCAAGAACACTGTAAATCGTTAATTTGAAAGATTTCACTAATTATTTTATAAATTTTCATTGGGACTTTTTTTTTAGTCTCCTTTCTAGTTTGATTTGCCACTTCCTGAACATAGGTCTCTGAACTACAAAAGGCTCATAATAATGATCCATATGAGAGAGAGTGTGCATTTTTTAGGCTTTCCCTTTGGTTCTCTGATTCTCATACAGGGTTCTAATTACCCTCAGAAAGATCCTCTTTCTTTTAAAAATACACTTCAGATAGTTCCCTTCTCTGTCAACTTGCTGTTCACCATCAGGTCTTAGCTGCCTCACCTTTGAAAGTTCTGTGGGAAGGTTGTGACAGATGATGACACTTTATCAGATGGACATTCCGACAGTGAAAAATAAAATTCTTCCAGAGCAGAAAAGAGATTTGGATCATTTGAGTGTTTCTAAGTTGCTTTTGTCATGTGTTTAATCTTTGTTAAAACTATTGGCATTATAACAAGGATATTCATATACAAAATCAGTAAAATTATCTCGGGCATAGTGATTTGAACTACCTTTATTGATTAAAATGTCAGCTGTCTCTGTTCATTTTCAAATATTCTGCCTTCATACAGTTCACCCACCTAAGCTACATTTCAGCACTGAACCAATAAAAATGCTATAAATATTTGCTATAAATAAAATTGTGGGATGGGGTAAGCACCAAAACCCTTACTGGATTTTCATAGTTTTTAAATTTTAATAAGACATTCTTCTTTTATAATTGGTTAATGATGTACTGCAAAATCACTCTCAAACTTAGTCAAACATCACTTAGATTTTTAGATTTTCCTGCATTCTTGTGTAGAGAAGCTGAGGTTTGTTAAATTGTCACCTTTGATACATCATGTAGTTTTCTGCTTCAGTTACTGAGCTAGCTATGCTTCCTGAACTCTGACTTTTCTATGTTCTCTTGATTACTAGTAGATGGGTTTTGTGCCAGGAAAATTTGACTGAGACACAAGAATTAATTTTCATGTAAACTTTGGACTTTCTTTAATATAAACAAGGCTTTTATCATACTTTATTTGGCAAGCAACAGAATTTAGGCTTTTCCCTGAAGACCTGACTCTCTTAATTTCAGTTGCACTTTCCCCTTTTTCCCAGTATTCCTCTTAATGTAGTTTTATAGTGAAAATTCTCAGAAATTTAAGGAAGATTCCAGTTGGATAATGTAAAGCTCTTTACCACATAATGTGGTGTTGCAAACTCCTGTGACTTATCACAACTGGTAGGATAGCTGGTGTGTTCTTAACCTTAGCTCCCCAAGGCCATTGATTATGTGAGAATCCCCTCTTTTTTAAAGATAAATTTCTATTCCTGGGGGTTGTGGGCAGAAAAAAGCTTAAATACAAGTACAGCCTCATATGTTGTACAGGTAAGCTGATCAGAAAGTAAATAAAAACCTAGTGTGTGTTAATTTTTAAATGTCATGATTTGTGGGGTAGGTTGACTTCTGGGGTATGTCTAGACTACAGTAAAACTCCAGTTGTTAGGCATCCAGTGGTCCATCACTCCTGATAGTCTGACACCAACTGGAACCTGGAAGTGCTCTGGCCAGCCAGACAATTGGAGCTGCTCTGCTCCCAACTTCCCCAAGTCCGATGCTGGTCAGTTTCAGCAACAGCGGATTTGGGGAAGCCTTGGGGCAGAGCACACCAGCTGCTTTGCCCCAGACTTCCCCAAGTCCAGCACTGCTGAAACCGACCAGCGGTGGACTTGGGGAAACCGGAGGCAGAGCAGCTGGAGTGCTGCCAGGCTGGTTCCGCAGTGCCGCTCAGGTGAGGGGCCGCGCTATGGGACCAACCCGGCAGCACCCCAGCTGCTCTGCCCCCGGATACCCCAAGTCTGCTGCTGCTGGAACTGACCGGCAGCAGACTTCAGGAAGCCGGGGGCAGAGCTTCCCCAAGTCCGCTGCCGGTCAGTTCCAGCAGCAGCAGACTTGGGGTATCCGGGGGCAGAGCAGCTGGAGTGCTGCCTATGCTGCGCAGTTCCCTGCCGCGCCTCCCTCCCTCCCCCAGAGTCCTCATAGCCCTCCTTCCGGTACTCTGGCATATCCAATAATCCGGCAACCCATGGGTCCCAAAGGTGCCGGGTTATTGGAAGTTTACTGTACATGCCTCTGTCGGCAGAGGCATGTAAATTAGACTACTCAACATAGTCAATGAAGTGGGGATTTAAATCTCCCCTGCTTCATTAAAATAAAAATGGCCACCGCGCTGTGCCGGTTTAGCTGATCGTCGGCACAGCCCAGCAGTTGAGATACAGATCGGTTCAACAGGGAACGCCTTTGTCGACCGTTCCTGTAAACCTCGTTTCACAAAGCATAAGGGAGCGGTCGAGAAAGGCGTTCCCTGATGACCGATCCGTGTCTTGACACGATATCACATCACCAAGACCCCCTCCAACCTGTAGATGTGCTTGTTTTACTTGTATTAAGTAAAATGTGTTAAGTGCTAGGCTTGCCAATTTTACCTGGAATCAGAATCCAAGCCACGTACTTTGCCATGTGCATCACCAAAATAAAGATTTTGCTGTTAGTTTAAGTTCCAACAATTTTTTTTATTGATTAATCATTCTCCCAGGTCTGTATTGTCTCTTCAGTGCTTATATACATTAAAAGTAGTTTAAACTAGTGGATAACATATATGAATGAGTTTGTATGGGGAGCAGATGGTTGAAGTAAGGAGATACCAATGTTCAGTTATTTACTTTTTACATCAGAACTTCACAATAATATCTTCGTACTATAGTGGTTATAGTTCTATATTAGACCTGTTTTCCCTTTTGACTGACTTTTTAAAATAGAACTAGTCTTACTGTAGTGTACACTCATCGTGCTATGTAAATAGTCCTATATAATCTTTGAAAACACCAAATCAGAATTTGTATTTATTTGCCTAATTGTAGTATATTACTCTGTATAAGGTACTTGTGCTTCAAATTACACAGGTGCTTTTAGAGACTTAAACACACAGATGAATGTGTTGTTGAATTGGAACCTTTGTTAATAAAGATAGAAAAGAATGTTGTAGTTTAGGAATAAACAGTTATAGCCTTCTGCAGGCAAGCAGTCCATACCTAACAAGGATTGCATTACCCAGACTGTCCAAAACAAAGTAGGCTGATTTTTTTTTTCCTTCATGCATTTGAGAGCTTAACTTTTTTGAGGGGAATCTGCAAATTACTAGGGCATGAAGTTGCAACCTTTAAGAGCACATAGTTCTGACTAATATAAATAGGAGTGCTGTATGCCTAACAACTATGGGAAAAGTTCTTATCTTTGACCAAGCGATATTAAAATGAGGCAGGAGCAAACATTAAAGAACAGAAAATGGGTTGACTAACAGTACGTTACTTGGAACTTTTAACTAGTCTCAACTATTCATTTAAAATACGATGTCAAGAAATATACAAATGACCTATCTTAAATATTTTTTTCAGACAAAACCAAACCCTTGGCATCTGTAACTAATAATGCAAATAACATTAGTACACAACCAGCTTCTGTAGCTGTGACAACATCTTTGATAAGCACTGGTCAAGTGACACCTACATCACCCATTAAGAAGGTAAAAAAAATTCTTTATGTATTTGTTTGTAGACAGTATTAGTGTTCTCTTCAAATGTTGTGTGTTGATTCCTGTGTAAAAATGTGAATTGGCTTGACCAAATGAGTCTTAGGTAATACACAATGAATATTGGAGGTTTTTGTTGTTCATTATTAGAATATTTGCCTTCACTCAATAAAACTTAAAAGCTTTAAGTATTTTCCATCCTGTTTTACTGTGACTTCTATATCTGTGTTGCATACCTGAAGGATTTTAGTTGTTTAACAACAACTTTTTCCAAGAAAAAGCATCTCTGTTAAACATTTAGGCTTTGTCTACACTGACAGCTTCTTGCGCAATAACAGCTGTTCTTGTGCAAAAACTTGCCTGCTGTCTACACTGCACAAGTATTCTTGCGCAAGTAAATCTACAGTATAGTGTTGTAAAACAGGGCTTCTTTCGGAAGAGTTATTCCTTTCCCCATGAGGAATAAGCCCTCTTATGCAAGAGCTCTTCCACAAGAGGGCAGTGTAGTCAGGCAACATGAATTTCTTGCGCAAGAAGCCCCTATGGTTAAAATGACCATCAGAGGTTTCTTGCGCAACAGAGCATCCATACTGCTATGGATGCTCTTGCGCAAAAGCACATGGCAGTGTGGACGCGCTCTTGTGGAAGATTTTTTGCACAAGAACTCTTCCGCAACAGACTTAACTAAAATATATAGTAAGATGTGTATATATATAGTACATGTTGGGACCATGTGTGTGTTGTTGACCAGTGTTGGAAGCAATTAAGCTACTCATAAACCTGGATAGATAGGTAGAATGGAAATTGTTAAAAAGTTACTTTTTGTTTTAGACATATTTGCTACATTTTTAGACTTGTTGGAAGAGGGTCTTGAGGCGAGAAATCTGCTCAGGTCCTCTGTCATAAGCTTTCAGTCTCCTGTCAGTATTTCTCTGTAGTTGAGGGTGGACTCCCATATAGTATTTTATTTTTAACTGTTCTGTACTTGGTTCTTCACCGCCTCCTTTTGCTCTCTGTGCCAGTTCCAAAGTGTTCATGGGTGTAAACTCATGGAGCTGAATTAAAAATCTCAATATATCTCTGCTGCTTCTGCCCACATTTGGCAAATCTGAGGTTAACAATATTAGAAATGAAATTGCTTTTTCTAGTCAAAATTTTTTTAAATGGTGAAACAACTTTTTAAATACATTTTCAATCTTGGCCGATCTTAGTCATGTTTATCACCAAACCCTGTTAGTTACAAAAATAACAGATTTAAAGAGCAGAAACAATATGTTGAGCATAACTCTCCAAAGGAGTCCTGTGAAAATGGCTTATGCAGAAGAGGAAATACCTCAAACTCTAAAAACCTGCAGTCTCAGAACCTTTATAAAATATTTGCTCCAACATGAGCTGATCAGAATTTTGTCCTTTGATACATGTGAATGTAGTGTCCCCTCTAATTGGTACTTGTGGGTGTAATAGACACAAAATGTGTGGTGTTGTTTAGTAATTTTTAAAACAAGTACAGTAAAGAACTCTGCATTGAAATGGTAGGCATGTTACTTTCAACATTTTATTTTAAAAGTTTTTCTTAAATTGTTTAAAGTGTCTGTTGAAACAAGGATAGAAGATCCCATCTCTCCCTGCAACTCTGTCCTGGAAAATAATACACAGCAGTACTAACTTGGGCAATTTTCTGTTCTAAATTCTTAACTCAATTTTAAACAAAATAGAACAAAACATTGCACGGTGTTCATTTGTCAGTCTGGAATCATGTTTTTGTATTATACATCAACAGGCTAAACTGGCCAGATATCATTTGTTTAATTTGCTTTTCATATTTGGAAGTAATATGTAAGGCTGTTATAACTTGCATGAGCTGGGAGAATATTCTCTCTGTGCTAAATAAGAGGGAAAGGGTGGCCCCTGGGCTGATGCCGTCATCCTGTTTTTTCCAAATCCTGTATTAAAAATATCAAAGCGAAGTTGTCTTAACATATCGATTCTTAATATTTGTTAAAATTTAAAATAGCATTGCCTCTCTGTTTCTAAGGATGGCATGTAGTATAGGTTGGACCTCTCTGGCACCTTCAGGACCTGACCAGTCCCCAATGAGGGAATTTGCTGGACTAAAGGAGGTCTCTTGCTACCAGCCCCCAGCTTGCCTCCCCTTCCACTGGCAGCCCAGACTGCTGTGTCCCCCAGCCCTGACCCCACTAACAGAGCTGCTGCAGATGCCATGTCCTCGGCCCCACTACCTTGCCACTAAAGTTCCCAGACAGGACTCCCTGGTCCAGGAACATCTGTGGTCTTGCTGGACCATGGATGTTGTGGGATGAGAGTCCCAGTTTTTGGAGGACCAACCTGTATTAGCAGTATGACAAGGAAAACTGATGGGGATAAAACGGGTGTCTTGGTTTTAGGCTGTAATGGATAGGAGTCCTGATTAGCACTCCGTGATTAAGGAGTTAAACTCAGGTAGCTAGAAAAGGTGTTGATCAGGTGACCGGGAGAGCTAATTGAGATAATGTTGACATTTGAACTGGATATAGATTGTTTCCCTGCTTTCTTTGTATGGGAGAGAGAAACCAGGAGTTGAGAGACAGACAGAATGATTTAAACCCAGGCAGGACAACTATGTCTCCAAGGAATTTGGGGCATGGGCATGGACTGAATAAAGAGAAAATTGGAAGTAAGTAAAGGGAAAATGAATCCAGTCACATTCAGGGTAATTCTTTTTTTAATATTTTGTGGTTTGGTTTGAATTACTCTGTGTGGATTTATGCCATGCCTCCCCTCCCCATTTACTGCATTGCATTGTGCCCAGAGACTTTTCTCTGTTTTAATTTGTTTTCCTTAGTTGCTCTATAACATCTAGCAATCAAGTATGCTTTATCAAATTTACAATGTTATTTAATGGTAAGTAGAAGAAATTAGCTTTAGTTTTTTAGATTCTCCGTGCTTTGATTAAAAGTACATCTGAACTGGTGGTGTATGGGCAAACTGGTAGCGTTATGTATTGCTGAGTAGTAGAATTAAACTTCCAGATTTTGGAGTATTACTTTATACTGGAGTAATTATGTGAAAAGTGGTAGTTTAGCTTTATTTTTGAAGACCTCATCAAAGGCTTGTCATCTTTCATAGCAACATTTGCAGGTGTAAAGAACACACTTCTGTGATGAGAAGAGAGAAAGAAATAAAATATAGACTAAGTTCAAAAAATAGTTATAGGTTTCTAATGATAATGGTCAATATATTGTGTGGAGATGAGAGCATCATAGAATGTATATGTATGTTCTGACTAAAGGTGTCAATAAAAGGTCACATTCACATGCCACAACCTATTAAATGCAGTCACTCTTGCTTAATTCTCTTTTATTTGCTGGAGTCAGGGACTCATGATCATTAACAGCCTTCGGTATCTTATTCTCTTAGTTGATAAAGGCTGACTTAGTGAGATGACACGCATTTGCAAATTGCATGCTACTGGCTGATCGATAGAGTTGCACATCATTTGTGTGCCCTAGACGGTTGCAAAGACATACCACTTTTCATCTTTGTAATGTAGAGATGCAAAGAGCAAAACAAGGGTCAGTATTGACTAAGGATTGGGCACAGTGAAATGCAGGCTTTTTAATAGGTAAAGAACATACTTCCCACTGACCAACAATAATTGCTAGTTCATAGCTGTGCTTCTCAGCTGTAAATACAAACAGCTCAGGTGGATGTTCCCAACCAGAAAAGAGGCTACCGTTAGGCGGATTTTCAGTCAGCACAGTGATATGTGTCCATGGTTTACAGTGTGGCCATTTGAATGATCTGCTCTTTGCCCAGCCTTCATACCCCTTCCCAACATTTCTGCACTCTGCTTGCTCCAAGTTTTCCATCATTCTAAGCCAGTGGTCTCCAACCTTTTTACGCCCAGGATCACTTTTTAAATGTCAGAACAAACCAAGATCTACCCCATCCTTCCCTACCCTTTCCTTGAAGCCCCGCCCTCTCTGTTCTCCTCCTCTCCATCAATTGCTATCCCCAGCCCTTATACATTCTCAGGGTATGGCTACACTGCTGCTTTTTTTTCGATTCTTCTGTAGGAAGAGGTTTGTCCAACATTTGGCCTGTCTAGACTGGGCCAAATGTCAGAAAAATCCCTTCTTTTGGAAGCTCTCTGACTCCTTGTGGAACAAGGAATACAGGGGTTGCCGAAAGAGCATACTTGTTCTTCTGCTAAAAAAAAGCGGAAGAACAACGGTGTCTCTGGAGGCAGAAGAGTTTTTACGGGATACCTCTGGTATCCCGTAAAAACTCTTGTAGTCTAGCTGCACCCTCATTGGGTTGAGACAGGATGTGTGGGCTCTGGGGTGGGAATGAGGGATTTGGGTGTGGGAAGGGGGTGAGGTGCAAGCTCTGGGAGGGAATTTGGATGCAGGAGGAGGTAGAGACGGGGATGCTGGCTTGGGGAGGGGGCTCCAGTCTGGGGAGTGTTGGGGTCAAGTGAAGGGTTGGGGTGCTGAGCAAGCCACAGGCTTTTGGCGGCAGGCTTGTGGATGTGAGGGTGCAGGAGGTTGGGTTGGGGTATGTGAGGGGCAAAGGGCAGGGAGGTTGGGAGTATGATGGGCTCAGGACACAGATTTGCAGTGTGTGGATGGTGTAGGAGTGTTGTGGCAGAAGACTGAGGATGTGGGGGTGCAGGAGTTTGGGGATGTGAGAGGCTCAGAACAGGGGGTTCCAGTGTATGATAGGCTCAGATTTGGGGTCAGGAGGCGGTACAGGAGTGTTATGATGCTGTGGCCAGATGGGAGCTTGGCCCCAATTGGGGGTTTGTTGGCCAGGCTTCATTTTTAAATAAAATATTATGTCAAAGACAAAAGATTTCAGCGTTGTCTTTATTTATGAGAAGGGTGGGGAACCTGTTTTGAGTCAGGGGTCACTGACCCACAAAAAAGTCAGTCGGGGTCACACAAGTGAGATGCAGAAAAAATAACTCCTCCAAATCCCCCCAAGCCTTACTAATGTGGCCCCAACTGTGCTGGTTGGAGCAGGGGACATGGTACTGGGGAAGGGTGCTAGTGGGTGCTGAGGCAGGGACAGAGTGCTGTAGCAGGGGACAGGGTGCCAGTGGGTACTGAAGCAGGGGACAGGAAGTGAATGGGGGTAGGGGACAGGCTGATGGGGCAGGTGGTAGGCTGCAGTGGGTGCTGGGGCAGGGAACAGGGTGTTGGTGGGGAAAGAGAACAGGGAGTCCCCAGCACGCGCCTCCTCCCAGGACTTGCATCCACCCTGCGGGAAACCGGTGGTAGATAGTGGGGCTTCTTGGGAGTGGGGGAAAATGGGGGGGCCCTGAACGCCTCGCGATTGACTGGTCGGGGCCTCCCGATTGACCAGTCGATTGCAATTGACAGGTTGGTGACCATGGTTCTAAGCCTTTTCTTTCTGTCGCATGCGCGCACACACACACGTTGACTAGTCGATTAGCTGATAAATGGGGAAACTGCAGAGCCCCCTCTGTGGCTCTGCCTTTTAAATGTATTATGAGATGGCAGGCTCTTAATGCATTTAAAAGGCTGAAGCGCGGTGGAGGGGATTGGGCACGAGCAGGGAATCAGCTGCTAAGTGCCTCGACTTCCTCCCACGGAGATGGTTCTGGGGGGGTGGGAGGGAACTATCTTTTAAGCTGGCTCCCCCCACTGCCTTGCTGCCTCTCTTTGATAGAGGAAGCAAGGGTGGGAGAAAGTGACTAGTCAAGTCATTAGTCAACTATCCGATAAGCATATGCTTATCAGATAGTCAACTAGTTGCTTACATTCCTAGTGATTCCACAGTTAGGTGTGCTGTGTGACACTGAAAATTTGATCTTTCTAATAGTTGCCAGTTAGGATATGACTTTCTAGGCTGGTGTTAAGTGGTTAAAGCTAAAGCTTAATGTTTTGATATACAGTTGTATAAAGGTGCTCAGTGTGGGGAGAAGGGTGTGTGTGAGAGAGAATACCTGAAGGTACTGAATGTAACAGTGGCGGTGTTATAAGTAGTTCCAGCTTTTATGTATGCTAGACTTTAAAATTTTGGATTTTGAGTCTCTGAAGTATTTTAGTAACAGAAAAGAAAGAACATTTTGAATAAAACTTTGATTGTATCAATGTTGTATCAAATTATTAGAAACTGGAATACATTGGTCATTTAGCTTATCTATATATTACATATGGTAAGTTTTATGTTTGGGGTCTCCCATGTGAGAAGTACAGCAGATAAACTTTATCTAAATGTGGATGATCAGAATATTGTAATTATCCTTGTTATATGAAAGCTTGATTGCTTTTGTTTAAGGAAACTAAATGATATTTTGGATCAAAACTTACTATTTCACAACATGGTCTAGTGTATTTAATAGGAACTTTTACCAAGGTATTAGAAATGTCTTGTTGCTTTTAAATATTTTGTGCTTTAATGAAGAGAAATGTACATGAATTGGGATTGAAACCCAAAAACAAAAAAAACCCCAACCCTCCTTTTCCTTCTGTTTCCATTTTTTCACTCTTCACCTTTGTGTCTTGTCTTAATTGGCTTTAGTATGATTTCATTCCTCCTGTAATGCCTGTGGCGGAGTCAGTAGATCCTGCATCATGGAGGCAGGGCTTGCGCAAAACTGGCATTGTTCTTGTGCCCAGTAAAGGTGAAAAGTCTATGGTGAGACTTTGGTGTGCACAGGATTGGTTTCAGATTGCAAAGTAACACATTTAATCAAAAGGTTGATGCCAGAGTTGCATGGCTTTCAGGTGGGTGTGTGTGGGTGTGTGTACATTTTTTGTTTGCATCTTTTTCACAGTGTGTATTATGAAGTGTGGGCTTTTTTTTCTTCCCTCAAGCTAACTTCTAGAAAAGTCATTTTCCTTTTTTCAGACCTTTATTTTTTTATGTCATTAACCTACCCAGGAAATGAAATACATTGGTTTCCCCTTCCTCCACCCAAAAAATCCCATCAAGTATGATGACTTGAAATAATAAATATTTTGAAATACCCCTAAGAAGCATGAAATACCAAAGTTATCATGAGTTAATGGCCTTTAACTTGATGATGTCTTTGTTTACAGTTTCCAACTTCAACAACGAAGGTTTCTTCCAAAGAGGAAGAGAGAAAAGATGAATCTCCTGCCTCGTGGAGGTTAGGTCTTCGAAAAACTGGCAGCTATGGGGCACTTGCAGAGATTACAGCTTCCAAAGAAGCTCAGAAAGAGAAGGACTCTACAGGTGTTATGCGTTCCGCTTCAAGCCCAAGACTTTCTTCTTCGTTAGACAACAAAGAAAAGGTAAACGTTTTCAGAATATATAATACAACACATCTAAGTTCTGGTCAGTTAACTTAGTGTAAATATTAGTACTCATATTTATCATGACATTGCAGTGGAGTTGATGATGCTCTTATAAAGTGTTACTAAAAGTCAGCTGTTAATTGTGGCATTAAGCTATTGCTTTTGATAGCTATTAGGCCTTCCTCAAAAAAGAGCGCAGCTGTTGTGCTCCTTTTTCAAAAGCATAGCAGTCGTCCCCATCCATGCAGACCAGCTTCATTATATGGTGCAAGAATGTATGTGGAGGACCTTGCTGCCTTTGGAAAGACTAATACCATGAGACTAATACTATTGACTATTCATTACAAACTTCCACGTTCCGCCTTTGAAATGTACAAATGCTTTTAAGCTGGCTCCCTCCAGCACACCTCTACTTCTTCCCTTGCTGCCTCTTTGTGATAGAGGCAGCGGGCGAAGGGGGGGGGGGGCAAAGCACGATTAGTTGACTAGTGTCAACTAATTGATTAGTCACTTACATCCCTAGGTCAAAGATTGTGATAGTTCCTGACCTTTGCAGCAGAGGGCTGGGTGGTGAGGCTCCTTATACCCTTTCATTCACACGTGAACAAGGATTAATCTTGTATCTTGTTAAATTAATCATTTAAAACTTTTTTTTTACTGATTTGGCTAATAGCTATTTGAACAAAAGTAACTTAATAGTTTTGTTGGTTCTTATAAGCTGTGTTCTCTTTGAGCTGTATGGCAGCAAAGCTTTGCAGGTGATTAATCAGCCCCGCTCAGTCAGTCAGTCAGCTCCATGCACAGAACCCTGAGCCTCTGACTGGGGGGTGGCTGATTAATCACCTGTGAAACTGTGCTGCCCAGCACCTTAGTGGGAACACTGCTTACAAAGTACTGTAATTCCTTTTTTTATTATTATTTTTATTGTAAAGTTCTAATGTCTTTGTGAATATAGTTCTAATTAAATATATTTGGAGATTTTAGGAAAACACTGAAATGCTTTTAAATGTTAGTTATAGTTGGCTGTTGTTTTAAACTGAACCTTTGGAGACCTATTAATAGAAAAGCAAAAGGGCATAACATTAAGACAGTTGGGTCCTTTGAACAAGTTTTCCATTCCCAGAATGCTGCTTTATCCTTTAATTCTGCGTTATGTTTATTATTAGGCTTAACCTGGAATAAAGTTAGAAGTGGCATAAAAATGATTTTGCAACTTTGATAGCAGTGCAACTAGAAACATTTGAACAGCTTTTAATATGATTCATGACTACTGTACAAAGCTATTCTTGACTTCAACTTTTTTTTTTGTCTTAAAGGAGAAGGATAATAAAGGAACTAGACTTGCATATGTTGCACCTACAATACCAAGACGACTGGCCAGTACATCTGACATTGATGAGAAAGAAAACAGGTGACTGTTACAGCTTTAACTTGCCTTTTAACTATACACACAATTATGTGATATCAGAATGTCTTGGAAACTAGTCCCTGGACCTGCAAAAGATACACATATGTAGTATCCCTTCCTAAATAATTTGTCACTTTGGTTCTTATAACCAGGTAATATATTGTAGTCACAATGCCACATCTATCTTGTTGCCTCGGAATAGAATCTTTATAAAATACAGTATATTGCCTTTTTACAAGAACAGTGGGCAGGGATATGTAGGGTAAGCACTAAATGAATGTAATCCCTAGTGTTTTGTGTATTCAAGCAAGAATAGCACCTGTATTTTATCAACTAACACACTGTCGCTAAATTAGTGAAATTACTTAAGTAATTAGGTATTGTAGACAAATGCTACAACCGGCAGTGCCCCAGCTGCACTGCACCACAGGCGTCCGGAGCAAAGCCGCGGAGCACGGGGGCAGCGGGACAGCCCAGACGCACCGTGGCTGTCCTGCTGCCCTCGGGCTCCGTGGCTTTGCTCTGCTTTGCTCCCCGTCCCCCTGGTCTGCAGACCAGGGGGACGGGGAGCAAAGCAGAGCAAAGCCACGGAGCCCGAGGGCAGCAGGACAGCCACGGTGCGTCTGGGCTGTCCCGCTGCCCCCGTGCTCCGCGGCTTTGCTCCGGACGCCTGTGGTACAGCAGCTGGGGC